AATGTAGAGCTGGAAAGATTTTACACACAGCCCATGAAACCTGAAATCTAGCAAATTGTCGAAAAATATTTTCTTGTATTTATAGGAGAAGAATAGTTTCAAAGAAGCTCAACGTGCAGGCCCATGAGAAAAATATCATCATACAAAGAGAAATGAAAGGAGTTGGGAATGTAGAATATACTGGGAAAACTACAACTTCAATTTCATGACAGTGAGTGGCCTCAGAAAATTCATTGACCAGTGTTGTACAAATTTTCACAATCAAACAACGTAACATTCATCAACGCTCCCAAATGCGTGCGATCAGTAAATCTGCAGGTGCGCCGATGTGGCTCCGTCCTTCCACTTGTACACTTTTTCCGTGATCACGGTGCGGCAGAGGGGGCAGCTCTTCTCCCGGTTGAACCACAGAGCGATGCACTGGTCACAGAATATGTGCTGCGCAGTCACAGACACAGCGGTACAATTTATTACACGTCTCCATGTCGGGGCCGTACTGTTCCGTCTTCTCGTAACAATACGTTCCATCTTGTGATGCTAGTCATGCGGTGCAATAAATGCCACAGTGGGACACACTGCTGGCATTGAACTCTGGGGGCAACCTGGATTCAACTCCCAGTTGTTAAAATCCACCCGCCCCCAGAGCCTAAGTAAAGGATAGAATTGACAAATGTTTTACCTGACAGATGAGAGATTGAGGCTCCCTGTATTCTCCTTGGCAGATGGGACACACGTCACCGGCTTCCATGCACTGACTCCTCGTGGCCGCCGTCCCTGTATGCTGAAAGGCAAGAAAAACACCCCAGTTTAGGACAAGCAGTTTTCAGGTGAGTGGTAGGACTTAAAAAAATATATATATATATATATTCCCAATCAATCAGAGAGAAGAAACAAAATGAGGAATATTTCATTTGGGTGAATCAAAACTTCATCAAACTGACCTCGCTCTTAAGAACAATCCTCACAGTTTTCAGTAAAGACTTGCACTCTCCGTACAATCCCAAAAGCTGCAAGAGTACGATTAAATAGTTTTGAGAAGATGTTTGGTTGTCATTTGATTTTTGAGAAGTGTCGTACCTTCAGTCTGAGGTAGAGCAGATCCAGCAAAACGCCCACAGTGAGCGCCGGGTTACCGTCGGCTTCCTGGTAGGTGACCAGGTAGTGGAACCAGAGCGGCGCGGGGTCAGCGGCCTGGTAGACCTAAGCCAGCTCCTCGCTCAGCAGCGGCCAGCGTCCCTGCGCACAATCACCGCGTTACGAGACCGTTGAGACAAGTCAAGAGTTTTAGAGTACGATCGTTATCTCGTGGCGCACGTCAACAACTACACTCCTGCGGTGCTGCAACGGGAATATTTCAGTCGGAACTCGCGTTGGTCGCGTTAATTATGGTGACTCGCACAAACACGCCCTTCAATTCGTTTAATTTCTGCAGGACAAGGAGAACATTTTAGGGATCAGTCCTTCAAAACTTGATGACAGAATCTTTGAAATAAATATCCACGCTGAGCCTTGATGGAAACAGCAAGATATAATTCCATCCATTTTCGATAGCACTTGTCCTCTTCAAGA